GTTGCACAACACAACTGTGTGCCAGAGGTATGTGAGCAGTGTGCGTGCACTCACAACTTACGTGTGCAGTTAACAGCCGTACTCAAATCTGCAAATAAGTCAGTATAATTAGTCTTTGATGGTGATGTGGAAATTTGGCAAAGACATATTCAGTCTAGTATATAAATTGCCAATTTATACCTTTTAACATAAGCTTTTCTTAAAGGTTAAAAGGTTCAGTTCTTTTAGACAGAAAGAAGGTATGCTGAACCTCCAGCGTAACTATTTTTTTCCTGTGATCTCCCCTACATCTACTTCTAAGATGCTTACACACCTTGAAATAAATCTGACTTCATTTTTGTTTGTCTCAAAAGGCATCAGTCATTTAAGCACAGCATGTCTGCCTTTGTGCTTGTCTTAAATGGCATGTGAAGTATTTGAGGTAGTTCATCTTCCCACTGTTCAGTTAAGGAAAGCTTTCTTACCTTTCTTGCTTTGAGCATTCTGCACGGCCAGCTCCTGCCTCAAGGCACAAATGGAAGCCTCACGCACTAGAGCGGAAAGGTCTGCCCCTCTACAGATATAAACAGAGGAGGTTATTTTAGGACAAATGTCTTTCGCTGAAGGTATATAAAAAGGCAGGACACTACAAATAATGGCAAGAGACCAGTGGTGCTGTCATAAAGTTTCATGATATGAGCATTGGAAAGAGCTCTGAGGACTACCCAGTGCTGCAGCCTTCGTTATGGAGTGACATCCGCCAGATTTTAGACACAGATTAACATCAAATAAATAAGAAGTAAAGGAAGAGGCAAAAACCTTAGCCAGCAGTCTTAAAAATGCCAAAGGATTGGTTAATATTGTGCCACTTTATGGGAACATGATGCATTTTTTTTCCATCAGCCTTATGAAAGCTTCAAATAGAATCGCCCAGAGGGCATTGCCTTGCTCAAAGCTGCATCAACATTCAAGTAAACACACTCTCAAAATAATAATATCCACCAGACATTGTCAGATCAGTCTTTCTAAATATTAACAGCTGGAAACTGGAAGCAAAACTTTTTACCAGCCTTCAAACTGGTGGAAGTCACTGAACCAAAGAAAATATTCACAATGAACTCATAATGCTTCATTCTGGGGTGCTAGAAGTACTCCTGCATTTAACAAACAAAACCAAAAATGACACAGCCAAAAAACCCCCATCAAATAACCCCAAAAATCCACCTCACAAACAAAAAAACCCCAGCAAATAAAATGCCAAATACAAACCAACACAAATGTAACAAAAACCAGAACAACCCACCCCCAAACCCAAACACACCTCCACAAAATAATCAGGGAGTGAAAGGGGCAGACAAAGAAAAAGTACTCGTCTTTCCCAAATATGAAACGACAAACTAAACATTGTTTCTGGTGACAGTTTCCATTTCTAAGATTCAGAAGCAATACTGTGACAAGCAGCATGCCGTAAAATTTATCTTGTGAACTCCAGAAAAATCACAGAACATTAGGGCTTAGAAGGGACCTCAGAAGATCATCTAGTCCAGCCCCCCTGCCAGAGCAGGATCACCTACAGTAGGTCACACAGGAACGTGTCCAGGCGGGTTTTGAATGTCTCCAGAGAAGGAGACTCCACAACCTCCCTGGGCAGCCTGTGCCAGTGCTCTGCCACCCTCACAGTGAAAAAGTTTTTTCTAATGTTTTTGTGGCACCTCCTATGTTCCAGCTTGTACCCATTGCTCCTTGTCCTGTCATTGGACATCACTGAAAAGAGCCTGGCTCCGTCCTCCTGACACTCCCCCTTGACATATTTATAAACATGAATGAGGTCACCCCTCGGTCTCCTCCTCTCCAAACTAAAAAGACGCAGCTCCTTTCTGAATAAGGGAGATGTTCCACTCCCTTAATTCATCTAATTCATTAACTATCAATAAATCATTTAATAGATTAGAGCTTTCTGAACTTTTGCAGAATGCAATTGCAAATTATTCTGACAGACACACCTATCAAGCTTTTTTTAAAGAACACACCTTGGCATTCCCAAAGCAGAAGTTGAAATAGGCTCTCCTTGCTTTGTCAAACACTTCACTTTCAACTGTGTGACAGAACAAGTTGCCTATGGTTGTTTAACCAATTTGCTTTCATCATCATTGCATATGAGGGCTCTTTTATCTTTAGATTATGCAAGAGTCACAAAATAAAAGCAAGCAAACCCAAGAGGCCTCTTCTGAACTGTATTTACAGCCTGAAGAGGACTATTCCAGATGAAAAAGCCTTTAGCATCCATATATTCCTACCTACTCCTCAGAAAAAAGCACAAGTGAAAGGAAGAAAAACAACATAAGGGAAAAGGTTTATAAACCCTGACAGTTAAGAGATCTTATTGGTAATAACAACGCACATTATCATGCAGCAGAAGACTGTTGGCACTGCACACTAAAGTAAAAACTAGAATCTACTCACGTATAACAATCGCAGTGTTGACTGTGAGCAATTTCTTCAAGGCTTACATCAATATCCAGTGGAGGCCGGGTGCCATCCTAAAGGAGTTGAGATAAAATCAAACCAATTCAAAAAAGTTTCTAATCTTCCTCTTTTTATTAACTGCATTAATCATATATTTTTTATATCTATATCTAGACAGACAATTTCAAACTTAGAAGTTTTCCATTCTGCATTTCATAGAAGTTTACATACAATTTAGACATTCCTGTCGACTTTTTGACACTATTCTTCCATATTATTACTGCTTTCTCCACAAAGATCCCAGAAGTGGTTTCTTTGTTACTATTTTTGTATCTCTAACAGCAAAAAATATTGAACAACATTGTAAATTATATTTGATTTGAAATCAGCCAACAACACTTTCAAGCACTGTAAGCGTGGAGATTTCCCCATCACCCTTAGACTACAGTAAAGTAGTATCATGGCAGTACTGAGATTCTAGATGTCTCTAGTATCAAACAATACCTGAGTTTACACATGGAAGGACACTATATTTGATACAATTGATATACTTCTGTCAAACACATTTGACAGAAATGCGCAAATTCATATAATTATTTTCTGACTTCTTCAGGTGAACTAATATGCTACATATAATACCTTCAAGAGAAAAATTAAAATATATAGTAAGTGGCAAGTCAAAACTCTTGAATACTTAACAGACAGTACAATAATCAAGGACTAGGCAGAAGGAACCAACCTTGAATGAAACTTCAGTAGAATACCAGCTAAAAGGGGAAAAAAACACCAAACACAAAGGGATAGCATCATTTTGAAACAAGGAAGCCTCATACAATTCCCTACGTCATGCTTAGGTAATTGTTGTACAAGACCGCAAGCCAGAAAGACATCTTCTTGGCTCAAAAGAAAAGTTTTACCTATTGCTTTGAGCAGCAACATAGGTTGGGCATTTTCTGAGTGGGATGATCTGCCTACTCTGGAGACAGAGAAGCCTGATCCAGCTCACAGGAATGTAAGTACACTGGCAACTTCAACATGTGAAGGCATGCTGCTCTTGCCTAATTAATATGCAATTTGAAAACAACTGATTTGTACAAGTTAACTGAAATAAAACTCTTTCACAACAAAGCTTCAACCTATGCTGGGGTTGTCTTCCTTATAAATCATTCCTCCCCCTAACTCCCTTTTCTACTCCTCATGCTGCCTTTGAAAGCGTGCACGTTTTCCCTTGGCAATGATTCTCAGTTTCCACGTCCCCTGCACGTATTCCTCAGGGACTTCTGGGAGTATATACCGACACCCAGAGGCCACTCACATCTGCACCAAACATTTAATTTTATCTAGCCCTGAGCACATATTTAAGCAAGTGCTTCTTTTACATAGATTTTTCTCATTTCCATACCTAGCATGCATGGATGAAGTCTGACAAAAATAAGGTATCTCAATTAATTTAACATATTCTTGCAGATAACTCTTATGTATTTTTAAAGAAAATAACAACCTATATCTTGTTCTTATCACTAGAAATACAAAACGTTGCCTGGCTTAGTGAGAACTCTGAGAAGTAGTAACGTGGGAACAACCCTGGCCTCCTCATGGAGTGAACATGGAAACATGCAAGGGAGAGACTCAGAGTGTTTGTATCTCAAACAGCAAAGATGGTTTTTCAGCAGAAGACAAATACTCTCTGATAACAGGATAATGACAAGGTTACCACACTGCATGTGCCACACCTCTTGGTGTTATCCCAACAGGAAGATAAACTGTAGCCACAAAGATTCCCAGAAGGAAGGAGCAAAGACACTTCTCAGCAACCTCGCCCATGATTTATGGCAGCTGAAGTCAGGATGATTCTTAAAGGGAATCTGGAAAGCAGCTCTCTCCAGCAACCAGTTAGCCAACACCAGTCAAGAGGAAGCCAAGGGATGAAGTGAGGACTCAGCACCCTCATCCCTGGTGTTGCACGCCAGTGAGCCTGGCCCTGCCACTTGGACACGAGCATCTCGGTGACGACACGCAACTGTGAGAGTGTGAGCAAGCGAAATCTATGAGAGTGCGAGGGAAATCCCTTTTGTTTAATGCCACCTTCCCTTCCCATGAAGTCTTGCACCAAGCTTTGCTGTGCTAATTTCCCTATGCCACTAACTACAGTGAGACCACTTGAAACAGTCACAAATCTCCAAAGAGTCTCCAGGAAAACTTAGGTAGAGCAAGACTCAACACCTGTATATTAAAATAAACCAGAGCAGATGTAAACTCTGTACCAGAATCCTTCTGCTCTGCTCAGTCTAGTGACCGACCCACATGAAACACTCCTTCCAGAAGAACGAGGGTGGTTGTATTGAGTCAGAACAATCACACAGGCCCAATTTCGAAAGAACGCTTTGACTTATCTTTAATAGAAAATTTGGTAAAACACAAAATATAATTCCTTGCAGTGTGTTTGAAAAATGACTCACAGATGTTACTCTCAAATTTTCTCTAGGCCTTTTAAAAGGCAACCACCTTTGAGAACACGGTTGTAAAAAGTTTTAAGTAAAATATTTACTGCCATTAGTAAACTAGGGCATATTTACTTTTTTTTCCTCCAGGAAGTAATGGATAGAACAAATGACAGAAAGTCTAATATCCTGAATTTGTAATGACAGTCTCACTTTTGAACCATTTTGCCATGAAAGAACATGCTTGAATGACTTCTCACTTTCTAAATTCTCCTGTGGGATTAATTATTGACTACACTACAACTTCATGCTTACACAAGTCTGAATTATCTTTTTTACAAGTTTTCTAAATAATTTTTTTGCCACAGTTTTCGCAACACTGTGCTATCTTTTCTCAATAGTGAAGACTCAAGTCTCCTTTGCAGTTCGAAAAACCACCTGACAGAACACCCGCTCTTAACAGTCAATGTTTATCTGCTGGAAAAAGTAGGAAATACCTGAGTGATTCACAAAGCTTTGTATGTACTTTTTTTTTTAAAGGCTTTGATTACTGTTGTACAATACTTACAGAAATACACAGATAGAATACTATAATCCAAATATCTGAAGTGGCAGCATGTGCCATTAACCACAGAGAGGACCCATGAAGGCAGGTATTTTACATTTTCACATTTACTTTGACCTACAACCTCTATCATCACACACTTCCTTTAATGCTACAGGCAATTAAGTGTCACAACTACTGTTGAGAAATACAGTTGGAGCTTGTGAATCATTTTGGTGAATGTGTGGAAACCCCCCCCCCCCCCACCAAAATCTTACAAAAACACTTCTAGGCCCATTACTCACACAGATAGCTATCTTTTTAATTACATTTGCTCCAACTGTAACTATAAAGGCAGTGGCTTCTATGTCTAATAGGTTTGCTTTACTCAGGATTTATGAAGCCCTTGAAGTCTCAGAGCAAATTTAACAGCTGATGTGGCTGATGGCTTATTTTTATGACCTCATGTAATATCTGAAAGTGCTTCATGAGACAGGATCCTGCAACTCTTTGTAAAATTTCATTTGTCTCAAATCATTCCACCAACCTTCAAGATAAGGATTTATTATTTCCAAATACTCACTTTGGTAATGGTCTTTAAAATAGCAAGTCGATCTTCAGGTGGTGGCAAACCCACATAGAGTGTTTTATCCAGTCTACCAGGACGCAGGATAGCCGGGTCAATTATATCTTAGGGAGAGGAAACATAGCGGGAGGGGGGGAAAAAAATATCCAGAAATGAGATATATCCTTAGCAAAGTATAGACACGAGAAGGAATCTTTGCATACTTGAACTGAGACACAAAGAAGCATTTGTGCCATGATGTGAAGCTCTGAGCATTAAGATGAAATAGTTTCACCTCTGTCTAGTAGAAGCCTCTATCACCCAGTAAAGTTAAGCTGCATTTGCTCAAATATGGCTCATAAATACCAACTTCATCTCTTCACAAAGACAACTATCTTTGGCAACACAGTACTAGAACACTTTAGCTGCTGTACCTAGCAAGTGAGGAATTCCACACTGATTCCTAACAAGGGGCGGGGGGGAAAGTTCTTCTGGTTTGTTCTATTGGAAGGAACAACACTTGTATTAACCATTGCAAATCTGCTTGAAAGGCATAGTGATAAATTAAGAATAACAACATAGTGATAAATTAAGAATAAGAAGTACACAGGGCCAATCATAAGCACCCATATGTAAATTTAATTTTAGTAGTCATTTGCATTTCTACTACATATTAATTTTCTGAATGGTAATATAGGGTACCTACAAAAATATAAAATAGAGCTGCAATGTAAAGAATTTATTTCCCAGGAAGAACTACAGACTCCAGATTCTATTATGTGTGGAGAATTAAGAAACCAAAAGTCATCACAAATGTTTCTAGGACATCATTCAAAGCTTAAATGTAATATAAATGTCTCATGGCCTTTGAGCACCATGGCCTTCAATACCAAACTTCCACAAACAGTAATTCAGGACATAAATACTAAGAGAAGACTTCAATTCCTGTCTGCATTTCAGCACAAACTGCCAGGATGATGATCCTAAATGCTTCCCCATGGCTTGTATCCCCATCTATCAAAACCGACAATGGTATTACTTGCTCTATTTTGCTACGGAATTCTATTGAGTCCCTATCCCTGGAGGTATTTAAAAGACATGCAGACATGGCACTTGGGGACATGGTTTAGTGGTGGACCTTGCAGTGCTGGGTTAATGGCTGGCCTTAATGATCTATCCCACATACTACAGCAATGTGAACAGCTCAGGTACAAAAGCACCCAAAGAAGATATGAAGAAAAATGCACTTCTAGAATAACAGACTTTTTTGAAGTCTGTAAGTTATACAGATGTGTTAAGATAGCTGTTGCAAGAATCTTATCCAAAAGTTAACAGCTGAAAGTTACACTTAAGTCTTAAATTAGGACTCCAAATGAAGGTCAACACCCTTGCCATGGTTACATTCTCCTGAAAAAATGTAGCTAATGGACAAACTACATGCATTCAGGCGTATTAAAGTGAAGAACTGGGAAAAGTTAAGCTGTTAATCCTTACTGTAGAGATGTTTAAAAGAAAAACAAACAAACAACAGAAGCCAAATCCCAAAACAGTAGCACAGAAGCACTGCTATCTCTCTTTTGCTTAAATCTGTCAAGAGTCCAGCTACCTGATCCTACCACAGCATAATCTTGATTCACTTTTTAAAGTTACTTTCTTACCTATGCTTAAGAAACAAAAAGTAGAACGAGATGCATACATTAAAAATTGCCATCTTTTTCTAGGACAAAAGTGATTATTTTTTTTCCCCCAAGACACAGCAGTCGTGGCCAGAAGCATCTATGTAGGCAAAAATCAGCTACTGTGAATGCAATGAGAAAGATGAGAGAGAAAACTAAGACTTAATGTATTAATTTAATCCAGACCAGCCGCACCAAGGGTTAAACACAATCCCTGCGATGGTACGCTCAGACAAAAACATCTTTCCTATATATCCATGCGCAGTGGTATATGATACTCAATCTCACTTTTGGCACATGTACTTTCCTGTTTTTGTGTCTCTGGGGACGGAAGTCTTGCCAATTATTAAGATGAGGTGACAAAGTTTGATCAACAGAGCAATTACAAGCATCAAAACAAATACTCTCGCTACGGATTGCACTGTGACATCGTGCACTCGCTAACTTCTCCATTCTAAGGTTTCAAGAGCTCTTCAAAAATATTAAGCTCCATACGGAAAATACTGTTTCCATTTTGTACTATTTGTCCAACGATACAAAGTAGCGATAGGGCCTAAAGGTGCATTCACCCATTCCCACGTCAGTGGTTACATCACCCGCACTCCAGGAGTTACTACAACACACACCAACTCAGTGAGCTGCAGTAATGGTGGCTTGCAAGGAGAAGATCTAAACAGAAGAGACTCAACTAATTTTAGACATTTCACATTTTAATTACATTGAAGTAGTTATGATAGATACCTCTTTCAAAGCCAATTATTGTTTCTCAAGTTTGAAAGTGAAACATGGAAATATGGTAACACACAGCACTTTTCCAGGCAGTTGTCTCAGAAAGAGAATATGTTTCTACCGAGAAAAATGTCTAGTTAATAATTTTCTGTCTCGGTTTTCTGATGCAGTCAATGGCATTGACTGTCATTAGAAGACAGTAGCACCATTTTCCAAATAATTTGGCAAAATTACATAAGATATTTAGAGTACATCCATTCCTTGCTTTGTTTTTAAAGGTTAAAACAAGGCACTAGCCTCTACAGCATTATGTAATATTTCAGTTTGCTACACAGCCCTCCAAACTACCACAAAATGTTATCCTCTTCAGTAAATTCTATTGAAAGTATCTTCCCAAGATTCCTTATAATGTGACATTCTGTTGTCCAACAATAAAATCTATGAATCCCACACTCATTACCAGTTGATTATTTATATGTTAACTGTGTAAGAACCACTAATGTTTACAGAGGCCCAGTGCACACCAGTAACAACTATGGTGCTGAGTCCATCAAACTTCTCCTATACTCACTACAGTTTTTAAAACTGTATTTTATAAGATCTAGGAGCTCACATCTGTGACTTTCCGGAATGTAGGGGCAGAAGTCACAAAAAGTCTTCTGTGACTCCACATGAACACTGCAGTTAATAACCTTGCTCCTATGAGACAAACAAACTCCACTAAAGTTACTGTAAAAGATACATAACGCTCAAGGGCTGGTGAAATTCAAGAAATATAATTCGGGTGAATTAGAACTATCATGAAATAAATTGCTCCATGCCGCACATATTAGCCGCTTTTCTTAGATCTTGCCCTGCCTTTAATTCAGCAACATGTATAAACAGGTATAAACAGAGCAAACAAATATCCCAAACCAAAACTGTAACTATTGTCAGAGACTGGAGATTGGGGTTTTTTATTGTGTTTCAAAACATGTGGTTCCAGCAAATAGTTCTAGAAAACTAATATAAACTTGCTAAAGAAAAATAGAAGTCCCTGAAACTAGGTCCTAAAATAACAGCAGGAGGGAAATTCTGCAAGAATTAATTTTAAAAAGCTAGAGGAAAAGCCTATGAATAAAAGCAAAGACATCACCACAGTCTGTGTTAAACATAAATCACTATGTTTGTAGAATTTCACAGATTTCTTGTCCGTTTCCTCAAGTTACATACAGCTCCTTAGATCCCGCAGCAAATGCTGCTTAGTCAGCATTTCTCTGAACAGTTTATAAATGTTCAAACCCTGGGAAATCAAGAAAAGACCAGAGAGTAGTAGTATCCAATATTGAAACTCACACTGCTAACTAGAAAATTGTGGAAATTATAGACCTCAGTTAACAGTCGTGCTTCATGGCTTTGTAAGTAATTAATCTCAAATTTGGGGAAGGAAGTAGACCTAAAACAAACATAATTATTCTGACCCACGAAGTTTCTAACACGAGATGACATTTCTGCCTCTTTTTTTCCCTTCTCTTTCCAATGACATTGAGTGCTTTTAAAGCTTATTCCAAAAGTCTGACACTGGTTCTGCATTTAGGTGGAAAGAGATTGAGTTGGGAATACTGCATCCCAGCTAATTTAGCAGTAGTCAAGAAAGATCTACAGAGGACTTTCAAAGTCACTGAATAAGTGCCAAAAAAAAATAAAATCAAATATCCTACTTTTAAGGACAGATCAAAGGCTTATTTCAGCACTGTCAGAATAAGAACTACCACTTGCAGATTGTATAAAATAAACACAGGAATCAATCTATTGTGCCTGCCCTTTCAGCAGAACGGGAATTAGAGTGATCCAAGTCCTTAAAGGTTATTATAAAAAAAAAATAAAAATTTGGCAGTCTTCAGTCATGGGGTATATAAAACTTCACCATAATACCTTGTCGCAGGTGCTAACACCTCACCGGAACAACTGCGTGAGGAATATACCTTGATGCCAAAACTTGTTGAGCCACTGCTACCCTACTGCTAGTACTATTATTTTATATAATAATAATAATATCTTTATGAGAGAAAACTCTTCTTTTGGCATGACAGTCCCTGGACTGCATTGCTGACAACACAGACTAACAGTCATGAACATTACCAACAACCAACTACAAAAGCTACTGCGCATGCAACCAACTACAAAAGAAGTGTCTTGAAAAGCCATTTTCTCTCATATTAAATGACACTAACATGAATTTAAAAAGATGAGATCTCACACTTCACAATACTGACCCAGTGGAAGAGTCCAGGAAGTTCTGCTGGGATACATATTTAGATTTATATTATACAATGCCTCTGCACCTGTATTCAACCTAACTATGATTGACTTATAAGCAAAAGAGCTTTTCAGGAACCACAACTTTTACTGTTTGCAGGAATCATTTAAATACACCAGCCAGCATAAGCCACACCTCTCCTACAGGACCCTGCTTGGACATTTTGAGAGCGCTTTACTAGAACAGACTTTGCTGTTCTTTACCCGCAGTGTGCTCCTACTAGGTACTCAGACCATACTAGCAAAATTTAATTTGGTGAACTCTGTGTCTTTCTCAGCTCCATAAACGGTGAATAAACCACACAAGAGAAAAATGAGCTTCCCCAGTTTAACAGTGAAAGTTGCTCTGATAAAAGCCACGTTGATTGGAAACCATTCCTTCACACTGACAAATGCAGATGTCACAGCAAAAATTTGTAGTCTGAACCTATCCCAAGTGTTATTCATGCACACAGCTGATATCCCGCTGAAGCAAGAGTTCCAGCCTAGCCAAACTCTGTAGATAATTGCCTCCTCTAGCAAAACCGGATGAGCCATGCTTTGCTGTTCAGCAAAACATATTTTATCTTGCTGGCAAAAGAACTCCTTTATCAAGATACAATTCATTTCCACTTACAGAATTTGCAGATACATTAGTACCCTTCAGTTTGATGACTGTATTTGCTACCCCTGCTTTTGCGTTTTCTTCACGTTGGCCATTTTTTACCTCGAGTTCATTTTCTTCCATCAGTATGACTGGCTAGTAGCACACCACTGAGTTGCCGCCTTACAAATTTCCCAGCTTCTTTCAAATATTAGTTCAATCCTGACTTCTCAGGAAACTTTTGTGATTCTGATTATTGCCATATAGCCGAGTACATCTACCACTGCAGCTGAACAAGGCAACAGTGATTTTTCAAAACTAAAAATAATAAAATAAAATCCCCCAAACCATTACAGAGGTACTTTACACCAATATAAAGGTAAAACTGTGTCCAGTATAAAGGGATGAGTTAACAATTGCACAGATGTCTGTTTCATATATGCATGAAAACAAGACCCATAAGCAAGTACTGAATCAGCGTAAACCTAAACTTGGCAAAGCTGGGAACTAGGACAAACCTGCCACATGCAAGTATTTATATCTCAAAATCAATGTCTGAGCAACATTTAGTCTAAACTGGCCCTTGTAAAGCTACTAAACTACTTGCAATCAGCAGCCTCTAAAAGAGGAGTCATTAGCTCAGAGCAGTGCAACGTACACGCGCTGGCCTCAAAAGCCTTCGCCCCACATCTGCCAGTGTCACATCCAAGGTGGCACCGTGGGAGGTCAAGCTGGATGTTCCGTCAACTTCAAAAGTGTTGGAGTTCACACCCCGCGCAACTGGTCGCATGTAATGATGAATTTACCGTCAGCAGCAATTAGATACGAAGCCCTTGAGAAATATCAACAAATAAGGCCTGATAGAAATACTTGCACAAGCAAAACTAATTTAGCAAGAGATCTCTTTCCTCAGGCAACTTGATGACACTAGTACTAACATCTTTGGTACATCCACTGTATCTAAATATAGATGTGCTACATTATATAACCTTATTCTCTTCTCTGCATTAATTAGGCAGGTCAGAATCATGCCAGAAAAAGTTACCACTTCAGATCAAAGGATTTCTAGAAGCAGATACAGATTTAACCATCTACTGCTCATACTTCACCATGTAGAAGGTTTGACAGTCTGTCATGGTGGAAGGAATTCAAGAGACAGGAAAATTTTTCTCAAAATATTTAAATTTTTTGACCACTGGAAAAAATGAAGAACGCCTCATAGTTGCCTATTTTCCTGAATCTATAGGACACAAGCAATCTGTCAAGTATTTTAACCTCAAATATTTAATCTTTTAATTTATATCCAAAGTAGATATGCTACTATTTTTACCTGCTAAGCCATTTCTCAACAGAATTCTACATCTTGTCCTTATGTAATACTTGCAGGTATGAAACAACTAACTGTGGCTTGCCGTTACCAGTAATTTGCCAAATACGTGCTCTAGGCAAAAAAAGTGCTTTCCAAAATTCTGGTACCTACAGCAGCACAGTTTTATGAAGATAGACCAGTAACTCTGTATTTAATTTCCATTGCAATATTCAGAAAAATGCTCATAAACAGGAAAGTGCAACATTTTCACGTGTATGTTTCTTTCTATACTGACATCAAATTCCTTTAGTTCTAACTCAGCACCTAGATGAAGTTCAAATTCAGGAAAAGACAAGTTTCTGGCTCTGTATAAAACACAATACATCTCCATAATAAAAAAAAAAAAAGAAAGAAAAAAAGAAAAAAGGCAGAAAACTGGTTGTAAAACATATGATGTCTGTGAAGTAGGTGTCAGTGTTTAGCTTATTTTCTAAGAAGATGCTGCAGGAACTGCAAAAGCTACAAAAATTGAAGAGCCAGCAAGGGAGCACAGATAGCTGTTGATACCAAAGCTTGCCAGAACATGAGGGAATAGCAGGATGACCTCAGGCGAGGGAACTGAGTTTGGAATGTGAAGCCCAGGAAGGAAAAGATAAGCAAGTGGAAAAGTTATTTAACATAAGATAAATGCCCCAAGGCAAAAAAAAAATAATTAAAAGTAGCAGAAAACTATAAGGTTTCTTTAGAAAGAAAAATCAATGCAAGCAGCAAAAAACCCCATAATTTATGTTTTAGTTCTCTTTTGGTTTTATGTTCAACAAAGATGATCTGAAGTCTAAGTCAAAGGTTTTTCAAAGCATTTTACAGCAATGGTATTGGGTGTTAATTAATACACTTTAAAGAGGTTGCTTCATCTCACACTATCACAAGAATGTGGAACAGATTAATTGATCAGAAAAGATTTGGATTTGAGGAGACACTGTTATTTTAAGTACAGAACAAGGTTAGTTACAGAATTAACGTATGTAAGAAGACGTGATTTCATTAGGAGAGAATCAAGGACATACAACTTATCTTGTTTATGATTTCTGAGTCCTTACCTGGCCTGTTTGTGGCAGCCATAATGAAAACCTGCTGACGATTCTCCAGACCATCCATCTCTGTGAGCAACTGGTTAACTACGCGGACACTGGCTCCTGACTTTAAAAGGAAAGATTTGTCAGCAAAACTGAGGTAGTAGTGGGAATGTGAATATTTAAAAGCAGAAGAAGCAAAAGATCAACTAGCTCCCTGCCCTGAAATACTACTCAGATAAAAAGTTTCTTTTTCACACTTTCAATGTAGCTGTATTCTGGATTTCTACTACCATACTCTTGGCACGTTTCCACCCCAAATTCATGCTACCTATGCAAGTGTCACACATTTTAAGATATGGCAAACCTTTTCTTTCCCATTAAAATGAAGGACTTGCTTAAAGAAGTACACATAGATATTTATACCAATCATTCTCACATCTACCTCAACAAGAAAATCCCCCAAAATTCAGGATTTGATTAAAAAATCTCAGAATATTCAAACATCTGAAAGAAGAGTTTCAGCAGGTGAGCTACTTGGAGTTAAATGTTAATTGCATAGCAGCGATATCCTAAAAGTAAATTCAATAGTTTAATCTGAATTTCATTCTAGAACTGGGGAGAGAGAAAGCACAGAAGCTGAAGAACAGGAGTTCGATTATGCAGTAAAAACTGATCAATGATTTTGAAGAATGTTGTTCTAAGTGTTTCATTTTAAAGGTACAAAAATATAAAACCACCTAGGGATAATGAGAATATGCAGTGACAATGCACATAGGTCACAAAAAGCCAACGGAAACACCAAATGCTCCTGAGTTTCAACTGTGAAACCCAAGGGTTTTCACCAGTATCACAGCCTGAGTCACAAAGTCACCACTCTCCTACACTGGAATGGGTTGTCCAGGGCTGTGGCGGAGTCCCTGTCCCTGGAGATATTTAAGAGTTGGGTAGACAGTGCTCAGAGATATGGTTTAGTCGAGGACTTTTCAACATTAGGTTAATAGTTGGACTTAATGACCTTACAGGTCTTCTCCAACCTTGGCAATTCTGTGATTCTGAGGCCAAAGCACACTTGTTCCCTCTCCCTGGCTACCATCTACACCTGCTGTAGTGCCCCGTACTGGCCACTTTCTTTTACGGTGTGGGAACCACCACCTCCAGACAGTCAAGAAGTCAAATCTCAACTTTTTCAGCTTGGTTATCTTTCATGGGAAGGAAAGTATGGATGTGATTCAGAAACAGTTGACCAAGCCCTCTTTCCTACGAACTGGAACTACAACAGTCCTTCTGTTAAAGTCACTGATGGCAACAGCTGAACAGTACAGTACTCAACTCTTTGTTGAAAAAAAGCATATTTGCTTTCAGCCATCAACATACACGCACCAGTGCAGTATCATAAAACAGAAGCGCTTCCTCTGCATAAAAAAAAGTGGCTTTCCTTTCACCACACCAAGAGTTTGTGCTAACACCACCCCCAGACAAAGCAGAAGTCAATCCTGGGTGTAGGGAGCTACTATTCCAAAACAATAACAACAAAAAAGATCATCAAGATAGAAAAACCTTCACAGGCAGAGTAATTCTCAAGTCTAATGCATTCCACATATGGTCCTGTGTCAAATATTTTCATGACCCAGTTCACGCTGTTCAAATAAATACATGCTTCAGGCAAGTGTTACAGGTGTTAGGACTTGGCAGTAAATTAAACATGGTATTAAATAGCACTCCTTCATCTCTTCCTACAGCTCCACACAGTCAAGTTGGTAGGAATACCGAGGAAGGACTTCTTACAAGAGTGTCCAGCGACTGGACAAGGGGAAATGGGTTTAAGTTGAAGGAGAATAGATTTAGATTGGATCTTAGGAAGAAATTCTTCAGTACGAGAGTGGCAAGACTTTGGAATAAATTGCCCAGAGACGTTGTGGCTGCCCCCTCCCTGGAGGTGTTCAAGGCCAGGTTGGACGGAGCCCTGAGTAGCCTGATCTAGTTGAGAGGTGTCCCTGCCCATGACAGGGAGGTTGGACTAGATGATCTCCAAGGTCCCTTCCAGCCTGGGCCATTCTAGGATTCTCTGAATGTTTTTTCTATGTATGCATACTGAAAAAAGTATTAAGCTTTTCAAAATTTAACCAAAACATTTTTCCTCAGATATGAGAAAGCCTGCTGGATTGTTTTTCTTAGGAGTTACTGAACAGAGTGCCCTTCCAGGTACTTCTGTTGCTAGCACAATGCCACAAAAGCTGCAACCAAGATTAAATTATTATGCAGATATTTTAAGACAGACTCACTTCACGATCAGACCTCCGAGGACACAAAGCATCAACTTCATCAAAAAATATAACACAAGGCGCTGAATTCCTGGCACGCTGGAATACTTGACGTACAGCACGCTCACTTTCACCAACATACTGCAAATGACAAATCACAGTGAAACAATGTAAGACATAAAGATTTTGCTTGGAAAGAAAAAATTAAAAAAAAAAAAAAATCACAGTTTAAACACTCTGAGATGCTTTGCAAGGGAGAAGTGCAACCTGGTGATGAGTTTACTTCTGGTAACAGTCTGTTATCTCTATTTCCTTACCAATCAAGATTTACATGGGAACTAGTTGTCACTAGCTCAGTTTTGACAGTGTGCAGTATATTCAGAGTTCAGTAGAACTTTCTGGGGAATAAATACCATAATTTTAATAAATGCCATCACTTTGCTATATTTATTAACAAATAAAATCTTCATTAAGGATCTTGTTCTTCAACTGTTCATAAACAAACTCATTGAGTAATGTGAACATCTGAAGTTCATATGGTGGTTGCCTGAAGATAGGCTGGTGGCAGGGAACTGAAGAGGAAGCCAGAATTTAATTTTAAAAAGTTGAATTGCAGGGGTGGGGTTTGCCAAGTTGTAAATGCAGACATTTCAGTTTTTCCAAACAAACATGCTTTGCCACAATTTATGTCTTAACACAGTCTGTGAATCACAATCAGACATTTTCTCTTTATTCGACAAGGAAATAGGGCTCCTCATTAACTGAGAATTTTATTTCCTGCCTGTATCAGCATTTGAAATATACATTAAAAGATTGTTTGGGTAAAGAGTAATCAAACTCAGCATTTTGGTTTTAGCTTCCAAATTACTGACAAAGACGTAACGGTCTTCCAAGATGTGAGCTGCAGTCATCTTGCTAATTCAACACATTTTCTTAACTCTAAGAGAGACTGAAACGATGTCACAACACTTCTAAGTCCAGTGCGCCAAACATTCAGGCAACAGCACTTTTATCTGCTAAAATGTAAAATTTTGAAAAATTACTCTGACCAACTGAAAAACCACCACACTGCTTTCTAAGATTTCAAATATCCATTAAAAAGCTAAAATGACAGGCAGAAGGCATTTCTGAACTTGAAAGTTGAAAATTTTCCTTTGCTTAGTGAAAGATCGATGATTTGCAGTTACCGATCACCAAATGCTCTCATAGTAGATTTGAATTTTTGTTCTTCTTCCTGAACAATGACAAGCACTGATGGCTAGTCATTTACAAATCCTACTTCAGCCAAGTAGGCTTCATCTGCCAAGTAATTTAAACCAAGATATATACTTAAACTACCCCAGTAGCTTTTTCCTCTTCACATGAACAACTTCACTGCTAAAAGCTTTAGGAAGAGGTTAAATGAAGCAACTTCAGTTGCACCAATATCAGTTGTGTAATTATCAGAAATTTTGTTTGCCCCATGCTTTGGACAAGAAGTCCATAAATAATAAAAGCACAACGATTAGTGCTTACCATATTTAGCAGTTCAGGACCTTTCACAGATATGAAGTTCAGTCCGGACTCATTTGCCACAGCCTATCAAAAAGGGTAAGAGAGATACGTATAAACTATGCATTTTTCTTATATTCTTTGGTTCTGTTCACAGAGCAATAAACAAATTTAAGGGAAGGAACATAGTTATCAACTGTTTGTAAAAGACAGAGCATGAGTGGGGCAGGGAAGTTGGCAAGGTGTTCTCTCTCTGCAATGAGACAGTGTTCCACATTCACACCATAACCCTCTCGCCAATTAATAGCTGAAGAATTCTCAATAATTAGTGGGAGCTAGAGATATTCAGCTACATAAGAGCATTTGAATAAAAAGATGACTGATAATCTGGAAACTTGCACGATTATCTGCATCTATATGGGGATGCCCTAAGAACTAAAATGCTCGAGAAGGAAACTAAAATTATTTTCAGTAAGGTAAATATAATAAAGAAAAAATTCATAAATCTAATAGACTGTAGGCTGCTTCCAAATATATAATTTAGTTACAGTGGAATATTCTATAAAAGTGGTTAGCTAACAGAGTTTCTTTCCATCTTTGCTACTTTCTTCTTAACCAACTTCATCCTTTGTGTTTTGCAGTAATCCCTTCTCAATTTAAGCAAAATTTTAACTTTATGGCAAGAAAAATCAAATAACTTCAGCATAGAGGCCCAAATTTCATCTTCTATAGAGAAGTGTGCAAAATCACAGAATCACAGAATGTTAGGGG